TGCACCCCACAAGTTGACTTTGACTTTGGAGTAAAAAATTGACTCCAAAGTCAAAATCAACTTGCGGGGTGCAATTGGATCGAGGGGGTGGGGGTTGTGTTCGGGTCGAGGCGGGTGAGGGTTTCACTGAGAGGGTTAAGGAGGGTCGGAATCGTCAATTTTACGAACAGAGCACCAGAGCACCCTGGGTCATCCCCCGAGCAATGTCATGGAAACCTTGGTGATTTCTAGTATTTAAAATTTTGATATTTACGAGATCCGAAGTGTCTTTTTACAAAAATATGGCACCACCCTTAGAATGCCTACAGATAAATAAGTTTACAAAACTAATGTTTGTTGTGCAAAACAAAGGAAAAGAAAGTAACAAACCATTAGGAATAAGTAAGAGGACAATGAAGAAAAACAAATTAGGAGACAATGTTTCCATTTCCTTTGGTATCTAGAAATTAAGGGAGCAGTAATTGTAAGATATATATGATGATCGAGAGAGTGTATGATTTTATGGCATACTTATAGTGAAAACATGAAAAGAGAAATTAAATTAAATGAACCTGGAGATTTGTCAAATACATTAACATGCAAATTTAGTTATTGTTTAAATACACAACAAGGAAAATGAATAATTTCTCTTCGAAGAATTGAAAGGCCAATAAAGAAATAAAATAAGGGCATTGTAACACCACAATCCGCGTAACTCGGTACACTCGGGTTAACGGACCGAAGCGCTAACAATTTGGTAAACATACTGGAGAATAAAAATAATATAAATAGTAGTTTGAGAAAGAAAAAACATTTAAAAATATTCTTTTCTCGTAAAATGGTAAATAGTTTTCGAAGTAAATTAATTTAACATTGCGGAAGCTAAATATAATTCAACAGATGTACAAGAATGGGCTCAACTCCCAATATACTTTAAATTATTAAAAGGGTCCCTGCATCTTTTTGCCAACACTCCTGCCTCAGCATCTTCCGGATTGGTGCCACAGCTTTTAATACCTATGCACAACCGCTGAGTGAAACTACAACGTAGATTTTATAAAATTATTGATGAACACACAATCACATTCACAACGAGAATCACAACCCTTAGGTCCTTTTATTTAAGAAAATCCTCTTTATCTTCGTTATAAAACATTTAACTATAAATTCCAACATTCGTCATTTATGATAAGGTGTAAAAACATCTCTTTGTATAATCATACGTATCCGAAAGCACTTACTAAAAGAAAAGGTTAACATTTTCAAATATCTTTTATTTATAGATCTGATAAACATTATCGTTTCATCTGTTCATCAAGAGGGTATCTTTAATAGAGATTAATTCATATCAAAGAGTAATACAACATCCTTAAGGTAACCAATCACTATACAATAATAGTGACATCTCTTATTTTCAACCATTTATATTTTATCCATATGTCGTACTGATCATTCTCCAAAGAGGTATACTCGATATGAATTCCCTTATCTGAATCATGGTCCGAGTGTCCTTTTCTTCAGGTTCACAATCTGTTCCATGGCCTTTCCCGATCTGGGTAAATGTACTCTTCTGGTTTCAAACACAGAAGATGACAGAGATAAAGATCTATCAGCTGATGTGGATATTCTAGAACACCTTTCCTTGTTCATTGGGAAATTTTAGAGGCAAATAATGCACAAGAAAGGAAAAATATTGTGTTGTACCATATTCAAAACTCCCTCTACTCGAATTTAATCTTATCATTTGACTTTTCACCGTCTTAAATGTAACACTTCAACCATTATTTTCTATCTATACATAGACATATTTTATGAAAAGTTAATAATTATAAAATACGTTTCAAAAGGGAACTAGATGTGAATAGAGGGAGTAATATTTTTGTGACATACGAGGATGTTCTCTTCGTCTCATCTAATTGGATATGGTTTAATCTTACTAAGATTTGATTTGATTGCGTCTATATGATATGATTGTAGTTGTATTAAAATGCATGAACTCATTTTAGTGGCATGAATCTTTAATAAGATCACGACCTTGAATTTTTTAGAGAGACTTCAAGTATTGAGTGTAAAAAATTTGAACTTTTAATTACATTTAATATTTTCATTGAATTTAAAACATATACAATAATTGTTCGAGAATAACTTTCTAGATATATGCATGCAAAGTGATATAGATTTCTACTATCACACATAATCAAATGTAATTATGTATACCCACCTCATTATGCCACTAAATTCACTACTTTTGCGTTTAACTTGAATCCTAATCCAACATGACATGACTTGTTTTTGAGGTTTTGCAGTTATAACTTCAATATAATAGTAATAACTTATTCAAAAAAGATTTTTGTGATAATCACTTGAATATTATTGTTTTATTACGTAATCCACGGATACATATTAATTTTAAACATTGATCTTGTGAACATTTTGGTATCATCTCTATGTATAATGATTTTATAATAGCATTATCAATTGATATATCTTGCTTAGGATTGTGGGGGTGGTATCGAAAAATCAATGCATCGGCAACTTCCACCAAAACAAATCGGAATAGGAATATGCTGGGAGTCACAGTAGGGTTTGCAATCCTCATTCACCTTGCATTGTGGTTGTGCTTCTACTATTTCAATGACAGTTTGAAAGCCTGCAAATTGTACTCAAATAATTACTTACTATTATCATTGAACACATAATAAAACTATAAAATCTGTCCTAGATTCTATCGATTTGTAGTATTCAAAATTTTGATATTTACGAGATCCGAAGTGTCTTTTTACAAAATTTATGGCACCACCCTTACAATGCCTACAGATCAATAAGTTTACAAAACTAATGTTTGTTCACTTTGTTGTGCAAAACAAAGGAAAAGAAAGTAACAAACCATTAGGAATAAGTAGGAGGACAATGAAGAAAAACAACTTAGGAGAATGTTTCCATTTCCTTTGGTATCTGGAAATTAAGGGAGCAGTAATTGTAAGATATATATGATGATCGAGAGAGTGTATCATTTTATGGCATACTTATAGTGAAAACATGAAAAGAGAAAATAAATTAAATGAACCTGAAGATTTGTCAAATACATTAACATGCAAATTTAGTTATTGTTTAAATACACAAAAAGGAAAATGAATAATTTCTCTTCGAAGAAATGAAAGGCCAATAAAGAAATAAAATAAAGGCATTGTAACACCACAATCTGCGTAACTCGGTACACTCGGGTTAACGGACCAAAGCGCTAACAATTTGGTAAACATACTGGAGATTAAAAATAATATAAATAGTAGTTTGAGAAAGAAAAAACATTTAAAAATATTCTTTTCTCGTAAAATGGTAAATAATTTTTGAAGTAAATTAATCTAACATTGCGGAAGCTAAATATAATTCAACAAATGTACAATAATGGGCTCAACTCCCAATATACTTTAAATTATTAAAACGGTCCCTGCATCTTTCTGCCAACACTCTGCCTCAGCACCTTTTGGATTGGTGCCACAGCTTTTAATACCTATGCACAACGTACATTCACAACGAGAATCACAACCCTCAGGTCCTTTTATTTAAGAAAATCATCTTTATCTTCGTTATAAAACATTTAACTATAAATTCTAGCATTCGTCATTTATGATAAGGTGTAAAAACATCTCTTTTTATAATCATACGTATCTGAAAGCACTTACTAAAAGCAAAGGTTAACATTTTCAAATATCTTTTATTTATAGATCCGATAAACATTATCGTTTCATTTGTTCAACAAGAAGGTATCTTTAATAAAGATTAATTCATATCAAAGAGTAATTCAACTGAAAGTTTCACTACTCTCACCGTATGACCTGTAACAATCTAAGACAAGTAGTTTGTGACAGGGGATGCTGTAGCACTGCTTAATACCAAGTTATTAGACATAGTGCTACAACAACCATCAAGTAAATAACCAAGAAGAAATAAAGGAACAGCACACAACACACAAATTGTTTACGTAGTTCGGAGCAAACTCTTCTACGTCTGCGAGGCCCACGTCAGTGTAACATCCTTCCCACTATATCAACTCAGAGTTTACACCCTCAATGTCAATAAACTCGATCTATCCATTGATCTAAACTCTACAACTCAATGGGAATGCAATAAACTCGGTTTATGCTTGTATGTCAAGACTAAAACACTTAAGCAACTTATCTGTGACGTGTTCCTGGCCTACGCTCCAGTTCTTCTCAGTTCAACTGTATGGAACGCACGTTAATTTTCCTGTAGAAGGCTATTCTGCATACCAGCAATACTTAATCTCCGATCTGCTTGGCTGGTATGCTTTGCTCTCAAAATTCTATCTTTGATATTTTTATCTCTGTATTCGCACACGTACAAAGCCAGATCTCCCTTTATTTATACTCTTCAAGGCGAGATCAACCCTAGTAATGTCTTGATTCAACTCTACCTACGAAGTGTAGTTATCCGGTAGAGTCCTTGATATAACTCTCTTCCAATTTCGCACATGTTCATAATCACCGTTAGAGATTGTAGCGTACGAGGTATCAGCAAAGCTCAGAGTCCTTCTTCAGTTTGGTAAACAGCAGTCCCAGATGCACTTGGACTTTTAGAGTGACGAACAGGATGCTACAGCTCTATGAACCACATAGCTAGTACAAACTGAGTCTTCTTCTAATAACTACTACACATGGTTTTTTGTCAAAAATAAAGCCAACACTGGAATAATGGGACTTAGACACAACCAGGGAACCAACAATCTCCCCCTTTGGCAATTTTTGACAAAAACCACTACTCAGCCGTGTTGAACCTCTTCTCCCCCTTTTTTGCACAAAAAATGCCAAGTTTATTTTAAAATTGGGGCAAATAATGAAGAGTAATATTCAACTGATCAAGAGTAGGTACAATGTGATATATAACATTTGAAAAGTGTGGCATAGAACTGTACCTACATCCGTCACTTGACCAACAAGAAGCACCAAATGGGCAAGGATAGAGCAAATAAGCAAGTATTGGCAAGCATATCAAGAAAACCATATAACATATCTAGCAGCAGCAAATCCCAACCAAAATATTAGAATCCAAAAGCAAGTCATAATGGAGCAAAAACATACTCCTGAAAATCTAGAGGAAAAAACAACCTCAACACAAAACAACCTGAAAAACTGAGTTTGTGATTACAAAACTGCATCAAGTTGAGTCCCCTTCCTCACTCTCCCCCTCAGATTGATCCTCCTCTTCATCAGAATGGGTGCTCCCAGTTTCCTCCTCCTCCGTCTGTGTGCTCCACATCTGGAGATGCTTCTCTAGCCTGTTGCAACAAGACCACCAAGTGACCCTTTTCAATTTCTAGTTTCTCTTTCAGCTGTGAGCACCTGGTTAACTCCTCTTTGACCTGCATTAGATTCTGCTCCAAGAATCTCACCAAGGAGGGTGCCTTTTTGACCTTTGCAGTTGTTGGACCAGCAACCTCCATGTCATTGTGATGTTTTCCCTCCATGTGCCTGCTGTCCACTTGAAGAGGTGGCTCTTCTGGTTCTTCCTCCTCCTCTTCCTCTTTGGTGAAGCTCTGAGAAAGCAGTAGACTGTATAGGAGTGTTGGATAAGGCAGCCCAATGGAGTTGACTTTGTATTTCTCAACTGCAAAGAGCATAATCTGATCAAAAATTAATTTGCCCAGGTCAAAGGGAATGTTGTGCTCGATTTTGTATAGGAGTCTGGCCATGATCTTGGAGACAATGTTGGTGTGTGTGGTGGGGAGCCAATGAAGGGCTGCAACCCTCAGTAAGACAGCATAAGAACTTTTGAGAATGGAAGAGGAAACTTTTGCTTTGCTACACTGAGAGGCTCTTAGACCATTTGTGAGATCTAGCCACATAATCTTTTCTGAGAGTTGGGTGTTCTTTTTGCAGGGAGTGAGATTTAACAGTGTATTGATAAGAGCAGTGGAAAGTTTATAGGTTTTGCCACTCAAAAACACTTTGTGGAACATGGGGTCAGTAGGATCAACACATGACTCAGACAGATTGCAGTAAAGCTCACAGATAACTAATTTAACAAATGATCCTTGTAGAGTAACAGATTTTAGCAACTTAGATTGTTCAAGAAGGGGAATCAGGTTGGTCTTAAGTTGAAAATCTTCCACATCAATTCTTCGTTGAACAATAATGTATTTCTTGTTCACATTACAGAAAAGAGATTTAGCTTTTGGAGAAACAAAGCGAGAGTGGGGAGACTTTCTTGATTTCACCACTGGAGTGACCTCTACTGTAGAGCCCATAGGTGAGGAGGATGGTGGTTGCTTCTTCTGGGGTGGTTCTTCTGAATTTGAGTCTTCCTCCAGCTTCAATTTCTGCTTGGATATGCGTTGAGGGATTGTACTGGCATTCACTTTCTTCTTGCTCTTCTTCACTACAGGTTCCTTTTGGAATGGGACTTCTAAGACTGCAACAAGAGGTTCTTCATCCAGGATTTGGATGAACTCTTCGTCTTTTTGCACTGGAGCATCTGGTGGAGACTTGGTTGGCACATTTGTGGTTGGTGCTGGATCTGGCTTCGGCACTTTAGTGGTCTCAACCTCCTCCTTAGATTTGTGGTATTCAATATAAAGCACATGTGGTAGATCTGAGGCTGGGGAGTGTGCTACATCATCTTCTTGCTGCTGCATGTGGGTGATATTTGCTGTAGTCCCTTGATTCTCTGTTGTTTCCTTCTCCTTCCCTGTTTCTTGAAGTTTCTTGCATGTCTGACAGTATTTTTTGAACCAGGAGGGCTGAGTTTTTGAGACACTTGTGCGATTGAACTTCTGTGGTATGGCAATCTTGCTCCTCACCATGGTTACTTAGCTGTTTCTTGCATGGAGTTAGGGTTTCAGGGAGACTCAAGGAAGATGAATGTGGATGAGATTGGCCAGGTGAATCTATTTTTCTTCTTTTTGGGAGAACAAAACGTTGCGAGCCTTCTCGTTCATTGAGAGTAAAAAGACGTCTACAAGTTTTGGGGAAGTGTGCTTCATAATGATGCAGATATTTGAAAGAGCGTGCCACATAATTTCCCTTCCCAATTTGAAATTCCAGCATATGACATGTCATGTACACTTTGAGATGGCTTTTAAGTGTCCACGTGTCAAACAAAAAAAACTTAGAAAGGTGCACAAAGGCCTAGATCTGACTTGAGCTTCTCAAATCTATTTCCGTCCAGTGCCTTGGTAAAGATGTCTGCAAGTTGTTCCCCTATTGGAATGTGTTCCAACGTTACTGTCTTATTTTCTACCAGTTCATGTATGAAGTGATGTTTTATATCAATGTGCTTGGTACGTGGTGAGTGTAAGACAGGATTTTTTGAAATACTAATTGCACTTGTGTTGTCACAGTAGAGAGGTATCGTGCCATGACTGATCCCATAATCTGCTAGCATTGACTTCATCTATAATAATTGTGTGCAACAGCTTCTAGCTGTTATATACTCTACTTCAGTAGTTGACAGAGACACTAAATTTTGTTTCTTGCTCATCCAAGCTACCAGATTTCCTCCAAGAAGAAAACACCCTCATGAAGTACTTTTTTTATCATCTATGTTTCCAGCCCAATCAGCATCACTGTAGCCTGTGAGGTTTGCTGTTACCACCATTGACATACCACAACCCTAGATTTTGTGTACCTTTGATATACTTCAGAATTCTTTTTACTTCCTTGAGGTGTGATTCTTTTGAACTTGCTTGATATCTGGTACAAACTCCTACACTGTAGCATATGTCTGGCCTGCTGGCTGTAAGATATAGTAGACTCCCTATAATTCCTCTGTATCTGGTAGGATCAACATCTTTGCCTTGGTCATCTCTGCAGATCTTCTCATGTGTTGGACAGGGTGTTCGAGCACTTTTGCAGTCACACATGTCAAACTTTTTCAGCATATTCTGAGCATACTTTGTTTGAGAAATAAATATTCCTTCAGCAGTTTGTTTGATTTGTAGACCCAGGAAGAAGGTTAGCTCACCTATCATGCTCATTTCGAATTCTGTCTCCATGACTTTGACAAACTGGTTTACCTATGTCTTTGAAGTTGATCCAAACACAATATCATCAGCATATATTTGAGCTATTAGGATGTCTGAGTCATACCTCTTGAAGAACATGGTGTTGTCAGCGCCTCCTCTGTTGTATCCTTCTCGTAATAGATATGATGTGAGTCTTTCGTACTATGCTCTAGGCGCTTGTTTTAGTCCGTAAAGCGCCTTTCTTAGCTTGTACACATGCTCAGGATGTTTTTGCTTAACAAAACCATTGGGCTAAGCAACATATACTTCCTCTTTTAGATAGCCATTTAAGAAGGCTGTTTTCAAATCCATCTTGTTGGGAAAAATATTATAGATTTTGATGATGATGTATTTAGAATGTAATAGGGACTTTAGGTCTCCCCCATTATTCAATGTAATTTTTCTTTTTAGAAATATTGTCAAAACCGAGCTCTTGAGATTTCCAATAAAGTTGTGATATTTCTTTAAGCGTTTTGATGTCTGAAGACTTGATCAAATTCAGTGATATGGAAATTGGATATCTTGTTCGGAAATGTCAGAGACAACTAAGGATTTCTCAAACAGATGAAAATCCTCTGATCCGGAAGACTACATAAGAACCGGATGTCTCGCTACAACCCGCTGAAGGCTAAGTCATCCAAGTCGGAAGACTAGCGCGGATCTTTTTCTCACCCGGAATACTAAGAATGACTTCTCCGGATTTGTCAGCTAAGAATCGGAAGACTCATTGAAGACCGGAATTCTCAGAAAACGGACAAGTGAGAAAAGACTTAGAAAAATTATCTAAGTCTTGAATGAAGAAATTCTACCCGTTGGTAAGGAAGAATCAATCTCTTGATTTTCAACGGCTAGATAGAAGATATTTATGCTGATTCAAGAACAAATTACTCGAAGACAAAGTCTGGACCTCTAAAATTAAAGAGCCTGCCCAGAATTCCTAAACAAGCACTAGAAGACAAACAGAGTAAAGTGCTACAGTCTTGAATTCTTGAACAACAGCTAGACGACGGATTATGTGGAAAAAGGAATCCTTCCTCAACAATTGGGTACGTCCAAACACCCACTTCAACAAAGAATCTTCAAATCACAATCTTCATTCAAAATTGAAGCCAGCAAATGCAACGGATAGTCTATTATGATTCAACGGATAGATTACCCAATCCAGCTATAAATAGCATCCTTGGAAGACTGGAGAAGATATGATGAGATACAACAACCCAACGAAGCAATCTCTAAGCTATCTCATTCACAGTTAGCCCAAAAAGCTTGATAAAGAGAGATCTCTAAACTCCTTATCCAGAAGCAAACTCCTCCTTCCAAAGAGCTATAGTGGAAACACTTGAAGGTTTCCTTGCCTCAAGTACCACACCACGTTGAAGGATACTACTTTTGATCAAACTTATTGATTAAAAGGGGGTAGGTCAACTTTCTTACAAGTTGATCTTGCAAGTCCTATTGTTCGGACCTTTCAGTTGTTGAAGAAGCATGACCTTCGAAGGAACAACAAAGCCAGCACGAGTGCAGTAGCAACATTGGTTTTGCGAAGATATACCGTGCAGAAATTCACACAAGTGTAATTGTTGGTTCATTATTCAACAATCAACTACATAGTGGATTTTGAGGACGTAGAAGGATTACCCCACCTTCGAACCTCGTTAAAGTTTGCGTGTCTCTCTCTTTTATCTTTACTCTTACTTGCAATTACATTAACTGTGAAAACTAACCCATCCATATTAATAACTGCTCACTCTACCCACCAAATTCCGCACACAATCTAAAGTTCACAAGAACTCTAGATTAACACTTATTTTCACGTTTTCAAAAGAAACGAAAAAGATTTTAAATCTGTAACAAAGTCTATTCACCCCCCCTCTAGACTTTGTATTTCACCACTTTGGGACCACCACATCTGATAAGGCTGATGAGCAAACGTATTGACTCTAGTCGTGCTATTGGTGTAAATGTTTCTTCAAAGTCCACTCCTTCTACCTGTGTGTACCCCTGAGCCACCAGTCTTGCCTTGTTTCTTATGACATTTCCTTCTTCATCTGTTTTGTTCTTGTAGATCCACTTTGTGCCTATTAAATTAACCTTGTTTGGTTTTGGTACTAGTTCCCAGACTTGATTTCTCTCAAATTGTTCTAGCTCCTCGTGCATTGCATTGATCCATGCTTCATCAGTAAGAGCTTCCTTTATGTTTCTGGGGTTCTAACATTGACGTATAGTAAGCCTTGGTCATCTCAAGAAAGTTTATGGTCTTCTTTCTGGTCTTGATCTCTTCTGTTGGTGATCGGATGACATTCTCCAGAGGATGATTCTTTTGAATATGTGTGGGAACAGTAGACGTTTCTAGTTCCTGCTCTTCAACTTCAGTTGCTTGTGTTTCTGCTGGCTGAGCTTCTTGGTCTGGTTCAAAAGGTGTCGTATCAGTTGTTGGCACATCTTCTAAGTCATCCTGGCTCTTTCTCTCCATACCATCATCAACAATTACATTTGTAGACTCCATGACTATTTTGGTTCTTTTTTTGTAGATCCGGTAAGCTTTGCTGTTTGGGGAGTACCCCACTAAGATAGCTTCATCACTTTTGGGATCAAACTTTCCTTTCTGCTCTCGGTCTCTTAGAACAAAACACCTAGCTCCAAAGATGTGGAAGTGGGCGATGCTTGGTGTTCTTCCCTTCCAAAGTTAGTAGGGTGTTGATTTTGTTCCACTCCTCATGTAGACTCTGTTGATGGTGTAGCATGCTGTGTGGACGGCTTCTGCCCACAATTTCTTAGGCAGATCAAAGGTGTTTATCATTGTACGTGCCATTTCCTATACATGTCTGTTTTTCCTTTCAGCTACTCCGTTTTGTTGTGGTGTCTTCGGTGCAGAGAACTCATGCCATATCCTCTGTTGATCACAGTATTCTTCAAAGGGCTTATTTTCAAACTCACCTCCATGGTCACTTCGTATTCAGATGAATCCTTTTATTTTCAACTGCTTCTCATTTTGTACTTTGTTGCATAGGGCTGCAAAGGCTTCTAGTGCATCATCCTTGTGCTTCAGGAAACTCACCCAGGTATACCTTGTGAAATCATCTACTACCATAAGAATAAATCTCTTTCCTCCTATGCTTTCAGTCTTCATAGGACCGAATAAATCAAGATGAAGTAGTTCAAGTGGTTGCTGAGTTGTTCTAAGAGTTTTCTTCGGATGACTTGAGTGAACCTGTTTACCAAGTTGACATTGATTTTAGGTAAACCTCTCACAGCTCCTGAATTTGACAGGGTTGTCAAATCTTTGTAGTTGATGTGCCCTAATCTGTAGTGCCACAGTCTGGCATCTTTTTCACTTGTTGAGTAGCACAGAATGTTAGGACTCACTCTATAGTAGTTGTCTGTGGTTCTGTCACCTTCTAACACAACCAACTTGTTTTTGTCTTTAACACGACATTTTTGTTGAGTGAATGTCACCTCTAGACCTTGATCACATATCTGACTGATGCTTAGGAGGTTCACTTGTAATCCTTTGACCAGCCAAACATTCTTTATAGGTGGAAGTCCAGTGACATTTAATGTTCCACATCCAATGATTTGTCCATGTGCTCCTCCTCCAAATCTGACACTGCCTCCCTCTATCTCCTGCATGTTTTTCAGACTTTTATTATCTCTAGTCATGTGATGTGAGCATCCACTATCTAGCAGCCATTGCTCTGGTGTGACTCACATGCGAGAGTTTGCATGAGATGCCACATGCTCTTGCACCCATATCTGTTTAACTCTAGGACTTCTCTGTCAGCCACTCTTGATTCTACAACACATCTTTCTAATGTGTCCCCATTCCTTGCATCGATAGCACCTGTAGTTTTCATAGGGGTTTCTTATGTACTTATTGTACCTCTGATTTTTATGTGGTGAAGCAGTTGTTGTTTGT